AGTCGAGGTGGGCATCAGATCTGGAAGCTGGAGAATCTTACTCTGGGGGTCCTGACGCTGACATGCCGCACCAAAGCAGAGGATTCACCAGGATTCGCTATTGGCTGCTTATTATGCAAGCGATTTTCACTTTATTATCCATGGACAGTACCTAGTAATTAGGGGTGGTTCATGTTCTACGGAGAGTTCTGCGGACACTTCTACGCCATTAGTCGCCGCAAAATGAAGAGAGATCGCCAGTAGTCATATTCTACAGACTTCTTTTTTCTTTCGCTGGCCCAACAACTGCGAGATCGGATCTGATGGAGCTCATTGGTTTTTCGCTCTCCAAAGGCTAGCGTTATCTGGCAAGACTGGACCCTTATTTGTCCTCGGACGAGTTTCAATGGACCCTAATTATGGTTGAGTTTAGCTCTCATAGATGCCACCACCACCAGTACTGAACAGCCAAGTATCTGCCTCGTAGACCTTTGGTCAAGAGATACTTCTTATTGCTTACCTGCATGGCATAGCATTCCACCTGCAGTCTACTGCTTTAGGGCTCTTGCCACACGAGGGTGCATATCACAGAGGCACATGTACAGTATGAGAGAGTCAGCATAATGGATGGTAAAACGTTTTTATAGTCCCCCGTGGCAACCGGATAATAGTTTTGACCAAACTGTCGCAGGCCTGCTGCAGTCCATGCTACAATGGAGGGGTTCATGCTACAGCCCAGTCGAGGCTTGCTGCAGGAACTCGATGGGGTAGAGCTGCAAAAATTTCTGCGCTTTGCTCGCTAGCAACCAGCCAACAACACCTCTGATCAGGAGGCAAAACCCGCATGTAATCATTGCCATCCGCCCGCGAGTACGAGTAATAGATACCACTGTTGTTGTGAAATGATACAGTATACTACCCGATTCCAAGTAATTCCAAGCAATCTCTTGCCATCGCCCCCACTCTCTGCTCGTTTGTTCAAGTGCGGAAAACGAGTACGAGCATCCTCAACAGAAGAATGCAGAGCAAATCCAATTTTTGGCATGTGTTAACAGCAGCCAGCAGCAGCGTGTACCTGTACCAACGCACTCGGCACGCGGGATGCGCACGAACTGGTACGAGTACCTCCCGCCGTAGCAGCACAGGGCCTGAAGCTGCTAGCTCGAGTCGCGCACCCCGCCCATGCGCTAAGAAATTTCAGATAATACGGCGTGGCAGGGATCCATCGCAGAGCCTGCCATTACGCACAGCAATGAATAAGATTCTCTGGCAGACTCAACGGGGGAGCCACCTCCGATGGCGCAAATCGCGCAATTTGGTTGACGCCCCTGGCTCGCGCTCCTCGTGCTGCCAATGGCCAGACACGCGGGAGCAGCGCAGCAAACTGGCCGCGACGCAGCAGCCCGGTCAGCGGTGATAGGCTCCACCGCAACCAGAAAAGCCCCGATCGCAGCGCCTGGAGCCCAGCAGCACCCGACCGCTTCGTCTTACCCCTCCCCCGCCCGGCGCTTTTCCCCAAACCACTTATTAGGTCGCTGCCCAGCTTTTCTCGCTGTCCTTTCCATCTCTCTTCTCTTTCTTCTCCCCATCCTCCTCAGCGTGTCCTTTTCTTCCATTTTTGCAAAGGACTCATCTTCATTCTCTGTTCTTCCGCTGCTATCCAAACCAATCGCAAAGATGGTTCAGTCCGCAGTTCTCGGTTTCCCCCGCATGGGTGTCAACCGTGACCTGAAGAAGGCCACCGAAAACTGTTAGTCTTGCCCATTGCGCCATCTCATAGGAAATATTTTCTGACCTGATCAATTTTGTAGACTGGTCTGGAAAGATCTCTCAGGAGGAGCTCCTCACTGAGGCCAAGAGACTCCGTCTGGCTCACTGGAAGATCCAGAAGGATGCCGGCGTCGACATCATCCCCAGCAACGACTTTGCCCTGTACGACCAGGTTCTCTCACACATCCAGGACTTTGGCGTATGTTACAAATTTCTGCCCAATCTTTCAGAGTAGTAAATACTAACAAGGAAATTACAGGCTGTCCCCGAGCGTTACACCAAGGATGGCCTTGACACTGTTGACCAGTACTTTGCCATGGGCCGTGGCCACCAGAAGGGAGGCGTCGACGTCCCCTCTCTGGAGATGGTCAAGTGGTTTGACTCCAACTACCACTACGTCAAGCCCACCCTCCAGGACAACCAGACCTTCAAGCTGTCTGCTTCCCCCAAGGCTGTTGTTGAGTTCAACGAGGCCAAGGAGGCTGGCATTGTCACCCGCCCCGTCCTTGTTGGCCCTGTGAGCTTCCTGCACCTCGGAAAGGCCGACCGTGGCCAGTCCGTCGAGCCCATTGACCTGCTCGAGAAGCTTCTGCCCGTCTACGAGGAGCTCCTCGTCCAGCTCAAGCAGGCTGGTGCCGAGACCGTTCAGATTGATGAGCCCGTCCTCGTCTTTGACCTGCCCGCCAAGACCAAGGCTGCTTTCAAGCCCGCCTATGAGAAGTTCGCCAGCCTGGGTGACAAGATCCCCAAGCTCGTCTTCACCACTTACTTTGGTGACATTGTCCACAACCTTGACCTCGTCCCCAAGGACGTCTACGCTGTTCACGTCGACCTTGTCCGCAACCCTGAGCAGCTTGAGACCGTTATTGGTGCTCTTGGCCCCCAGACCGTCCTGTCCGCTGGTGTTGTCGACGGACGAAACATCTGGAAGACCAACCTGAAGCGCGCCATTGAGACTGTTGAGAGCGCCGTCCAGAAGCTCGGCAAGGAGCGTGTCATTGTCGCCACCTCCTCCTCTCTCCTCCACACCCCCCACACCCTGGCCAGCGAGAAGAAGCTGGACGCTGAAATCGCCGACTGGTTCTCTTTCGCCTCTGAGAAGACCGTCGAGGTTGCCGTCATTGCCAAGGCCGTCACTGAGGGCCCTGCTGCCGTCCGTGAGCAGCTCGAGGCCAACGCCAAGTCTATCCAGGCTCGCGCCACTTCTCCCCGCACCAACGACCCCAAGGTCAAGGAGCGCCAGTCCAAGATTGTCGCTGCCGACTACAACCGAAAGTCCGAGTTCCCTGCTCGTATCTCTTCCCAGCAGGACAAGCTCAAGCTCCCCCTGTTCCCCACCACCACCATCGGTTCTTTCCCCCAGACCAAGGAGATTCGTCTGTCACGAACCAAGCTGACCAAGGGCGAGATCACCGCCCAGGAGTACGACTCCTTCATTGAGAAGGAGATCCGTGACAACGTCAAGATCCAGGAGGAGCTTGGCCTCGATGTCTTCGTTCACGGTGAGCCTGAGCGAAACGACATGGTCCAGTACTTTGGTGAGCGCCTGGATGGTTATGCCTTCACCACCCACGCCTGGGTTCAGAGCTACGGTTCTCGATGCGTCCGACCTCCCATCATTGTCGGTGACATCTCCCGCCCTGCTCCCATGACCGTCAAGGAGTCCAAGTACGCCGTCTCTGTCTCCAGCAAGCCCATGAAGGGTATGCTGACTGGACCCGTCACCTGCCTGCGATGGTCTTTCCCTCGTGATGATGTTCACCAGTCTGTCCAGGCTGAGCAGCTTGCTCTGGCTCTCCGTGACGAGGTCGTTGACCTTGAGGCTGCTGGCATTGATGTCATCCAGGTCGATGAGCCTGCTCTCCGTGAGGGTCTCCCTCTCCGCTCCGGCAAGGAGCGTGACGCCTACCTCAAGTGGGCTGTCCAGGCTTTCCGCCTGTCCACCACTGGTGTCGAGGACTCCACTCAGATCCACTCCCACTTCTGCTACTCTGAGTTCCAGGACTTCTTCCACGCCATTGCTGCCCTCGATGCCGATGTTCTGTCCATTGAGAACAGCAAGTCCGATGCCAAGCTGCTGGGCGTCTTCGTTGACTCTGCCTACCCCCGTCACATCGGACCTGGTGTCTATGACATCCACTCTCCTCGTGTTCCCAGCGAGCAGGAGATCAAGGACCGCATCGAGGAGATGCTCCAGTACCTCAAGCCTGAGCAGCTCTGGATCAACCCTGACTGCGGTCTCAAGACCCGCCAGTGGAAGGAGACCAAGGAGGCTTTGGCCAACATGATCGCCGCCACCAAGCACTTCCGTGCCAAGTACACCAAATAAGTGCAATAATTTTTCTACTCTTGCTGCAGCTGCAATGTAGCAAGGCTTGGCTTTGACGGGAGCATAAACTGCTCTCCTTGGCCAGGCACGATTTCAACATCGGCGTTTGGGCATGGTTTTAGGTGATGACAACGGGTTATCAACGGTACCCGCACAAAAAAAAAGTTTCTTTTTAACATCGCTTGGGATTACGGGAAAGGTCGGTTAGGCGAGCATTCAACATATGCATATGTGCGTTGATTCTTCTGATTAGGAAGAGCACTTTGGTGGTTTTTAACATAGTTCATTAAGGATGGATATCCGAAAAGTCTTCAACAAGGCGTTTATGAGGTGAGATGAAACATAGGGAAATGATGAGATTTTATGAGGATTTGTAGTACTAGATACCCCCGATTCAACCTGGGAAAATAAAGAGAAGAGATTTTAACCTGGTGAAATTCGCCGCTGCGGCTGTCTTTGTCGATGACTGTGAATGGCTTCAAAACTATGCACAATGGCCTGTGGTCAGTTGCCATTGTGATTCTTTCCATTGATGCTGCTGGTGCAAGGAGGCTTCGCGTCGCGTCATCCGCTGTCTAGCAAATTCATCAATGGCTACAAACACGATCTCAACCTTGCAGCTCCCGGCGTTGTGGACATGCCTGCTGCGGCTATCCACTAGAATTCAAGCCAATGGTACTTGCGGTGCCTGTATCGAGCCATTCCAGGCTGACCTCCCCCCAGGCACAGTGCCCTGAAGTCGCTGGGGCTGCAAGGCATTAGTGCCCATCGCTCCCGGACAGACCAGGGGCACAGCACCGGGTACCACTCTGTGCTCAATTCACTCTTCATCTCACGTGTCTCCCTGTTTCCTGACTACTATACCATTCCAAACTCCATCTCCATCTCCATCAAAATCTTGATATCTCGCTAGAGGCTATCACGAAAGGGCCCTTTCCATCTTACACAAGCCACTGGGCAATTTAATTTTACCTTTAAAACGCCAAAAGTTATCCAGTGCAGAATTTTTCTTTTAGACTCGCAGCCCCAGATATCTCATTCTCGTTTTCACCATGGCTCCAGCGCGACAGCAGCCGCCTCCGCCATTCAGCAAGGACGAAAAAGTCCTGTGCTTCCACATGGACATGCTTTATGAGGCCAAGATTATGGATGTGCAGCCTGCAGAGAAGCCCAATGAAGGATATCGGTACAAGGTTCACTACAAAGGGTGGAAAAACACGTGGGACGACTGGGTGCTGGTGGACCGCATCCGCCCCTTTGACGACGAGCACAAGGAGCTGGCGGCCCAGCTTCACGCGCAGCTCAAGACTAGCATGCAGAAAACGGCAAAGGTGCCCAAGAAGGTCGTCAAGAGCGGCGGCGAGTCGGCGCGCGGCAGCGAGGAGCGAAGTTCGGCCGTGACCCAGGGAGGTCGGGGTGGTCGAAGAGGCAAGGACTGGGATCTCGAGCAGGTAAGGACTGAGTTTGCCTTTGAGCGCCTGCAAGTTTCTTTTTTCATGCTCTCTGTCTTTCTCAGAAGCTTGTTTGCCTTTTTGCGATGAAAGTGTGCTGTTTTTGCTTCTCTTTTTGGTTCTTTTTCCCTCGTGGCGTTCGCTTTTCAGAGTATCGTGCTTGGCCACGTCTCCCGTTATGCTTTTCACTTTTTGCCTTCAGATACAGAGTAGTCCTCTCTTGGGCATTATGGGGGTTGTATGATGCAGAATTGCATGGAAAACGCGCTCAAGCGCGTGGAATTGGCTTTTTTGTGGCCGGAAAGCGGCGTCTTTGGCTTTGCCACTCAGGGGCAGAGTGAAGGTTATAACTGTCCCAGTGGGCTTTTATATCGCGTTTCTTCTGGCAACTTGAGCCTGTGACGCAGCTTTGGCTTGTTTTAAACTTCTTTTTCATATGGTTTGGCGGCTATTTTACATTGGGATGTATTCTCAGCCTCAAAGTCTGATCAAGATAGATATCTTGTTCAAACTTAGATGAGGGAGTGCCCAAAGTTTAATGGTCTTCTTATTTTTCTCGTCGTCCTATTCATATCTTCCTACAGTTGGTTTTCTTCCCTTCTTTCGTTAATCATCGACATTCTCATCTTTGCTTGCCTACGTTTTTGCAACACCCTTCATTCCACTTACAACACTTCTTTCTCGCTCAAATTCTCCATGAACACCAACCGCTTCCCCTCCGAGCAGGCTCCTGCATCCAACTCTCGAGGTTGTACGGAGGACTCTCTTGCTCTTCCCCCTCTTCCTTCTGCCGAGCCTTGCTTCCCACTACGGGCTCGTTCCGGGAGTCCATCAGCGGCTCCGCAGCCCAAGAAGATCCGGATTATACTCCACGTCAAGAGGCCCCGGAAAAAGATCATTATCAAGAGGAAGCCCCCGGTCGAGGAGCCTCCGGTCGAGGAGCCTCTGGTCAAGGAGCCTCTGGTCGAGATCAGTGGTGATAAGCCTCCGATCAAGATCATTATCAAGAGGAAGCGTCCGGTCGAAGAGCCTCTGGTTGAGGAGCCTCTGGTTGAGGAGCCTCTGGTTAAGAAGCCTCCGACCAAGATCATTATCAAGAGGAAGCGTCCAGTCGAAGAGCCTCTGGTCGAGGAGCCTCTGGTCAAGAAGCCTCTGGTCGAGAAGCCTCTGGTCGAGATCAGTGACGATAAGCCCCCGACCAAGATTAAGATCAAGAGGAAGCGTCCGGTCGAGGGGCCTCCGGTCGAGACGCCTCTGGCCGAGATTAGCGGCAATAAGCCCCCTACCAAGATCAAGCTCAAGCTCAATCCCACTCGGTAAATACACATCCGGAGCATATTTGTGATCCCGCGGTTGATCTATAGAAGCCAGTAGCTTCTTAACCTTCACTTTCTGTGTTTTCCCACCTTTTTCTTCTTATCTTTTGCTTTCTGTGTTTTCCGGTTCTTGCTTTCTTTATTGTCTCTCTCATAGTCTTTGCCTAACCACCGCCATCTCTTACACCATGAGCTACTGAAAATATTCTAACAATTTCCACAGGAGGACGCCTTCCACAGCAAGCCAATGATCAACATATCCGTTCCTGATCATGTGCAGGCCATGCTGGTTGATGATTGGGAGAACATTACCAAGAACAACCAGCTTGTTCCTCTGCCTCATCCCAAGCCTGTGTCCAAAATCTTTGAGGATTATCTTGCTGTTGAGCGGCCACGCCGAGAAGAAGGCTCTTCGAGCATGGACATCCTGGAAGAGGTGATTGCCGGGTTCAGAGAGTATTTCGAGAAGGCTCTCAGTAGAATACTTCTTTACAGGTACGTGATACTTCCGCTTGAGCTTTGTTGAATGTCTGCTAATATTTCGATATATAGATTTGAACGCCATCAGTACATGGATGTGCGGAAACTTTGGGATAACGCGGAGGAGAACTCACAGTACAAAAATGTCTGTGATGTGTATGGCGCCGAGCATCTTGCCCGCTTGATTGGTTCGTCCTATGCCATGTCACGTATCTTTATCTGAAGGTGTTTGTTTTTACTAACCTTTAACCACGCAGTCTCATTACCTGAACTCCTCGCACAGACGAACATGGATCAGCAGTCGGTATCACGCCTCAGAGAAGAGATTGGAAAGTTCACTTCCTGGCTAGGGCGCAACTGCGAAACATACTTTGTCAACGAGTACGAGACTCCATCCCAAGAGTACATTGACAAGGCACGGAGCTTCTAAGTTGTGTCTTGCCTCCTCTCAACCTTTCCAAGACATGAGTGAGCTGCAAGAAAACGGCATGGCGCTCCTCATACATGCCTAGGATCGTACCAAGAACTCCCTTTGGCTATATTATTTTCCTACATTGTGTTTTTTGTTGTTTTTAAAAAGTTGGTATCAAACTAGTGGGTTGAGAATGGCGCCGGCCGCGGCTCGCTGGCTCAAATTGGTTTCCCATTCTACCAACCCTTTTGGCTTCATTTTGTAGGATTATCGTTTTTTTTTTGTTTTTTTGTTAACGGATATCGCCGGTAATGGGTACTGGATAGCAAGGTGTTAAATGTGATGATTATTGTGGTTTTCTTCTTTTCAATCACACAGGTAGAACAAGAGGAAGATGAAAGATGATGGAGGATGGAAATAGCTACAAAGTAATGCAAGGCGTTTGTTTTTATGTCTACATCTCCGCTTGTCTCGTGACTGCACATCATTCTCGTCCCCCCTCTCTTTCATCTCGTCCGTCTTTGGTACATTGTTGCCGTCACAATATCGTACACTTCTTTTTGATATATCCCCAAGCCAATATATATACATACACACAATGCTCCCACACCAAACGAGCATTCCAAAAACGCTCATGACCAAAAAAAAAAGCAAAAAAACATCAAGATAACATTTTTACATCCGTCGCACCGCCCTCTCAACGTAAAACCCCTTCTCCGGCGTCCTCTCCGCCTTGACCTCGCCCTTGCTCAGCCTCCGCTCCACCTCCTGCACGCGCACCAGCTCCTTGACCTTCATAATCATGCCGGCAAACTGCGGCTCCGCGGGGTGGAAGACGGTCTGCATGCGGCGGCGCAGGCCCAGCGCCTGGAGCACGCCGCGGGTGCGCTCGGGGAGGCCGATGGCGGATCGGTGGAGGGTGATGCGGAAGAAGGACATGGTGTGTGTATTTTTGTGTTCCCGTGAGGTTCGATTGTTTGGATGGCGAGAGAAAGGCTTATTCGTCGTCTAGATAGCTCGTGGATGTTCGATTGTCGCTGTCGCATGATTAGCAAAAATAATGCACCTCAGCAAATAAGATGCAGCTCCGTCCGTACTAATTCTCCAAAGCACAAATGTCCCAGTTCGCAGGCAACAACACTCAATTTTTGCAACGATGCAATTCTCCAATCCTGCCCTCCGCCTTGTTTTCTAGAGGAGTAATCCGTCGGCTTGAAAGTCGGCTTGTTTCTTCGAGTGGGTTGAGTTGAGCCCGCGATAAAGTTGCTAGTGGTTGCGCGATAAGACTAGCTAGCTTCACGAGGGACGGCCTTGTCCGGATCACGTGACATATTCTCAATGATGTACTTCATACAGAGTTCTCCTTGGGATATAATTTTGCATTTCAGTGAATTCTTTGCCTATTGCAAGTATTAAAACGCGTATGGAGAACAGTCACGGATATTCATGTAACGGTGAATTAATTTTGTTCTATTTGTCATGAAATCAAAAAATGATTTAAATACTTCATAATGTTTCTCCGCAGCGCACTTGTGGCGCTGTTCAAGTCTTTGCAAATCACCATCCCTTCCCAAATCCATTCAATATCCACCGCTGCTATAAAAGATTTTCGAACGCTCCTCCTATTTCCTCTCGGCTTCAAATTAAATCTGGACCTCCACTCTGCCCTCAGTGCCCCGGCCCTCGCTAAGGTTGGGCAGCAGGTAGGTAATATCATCCCAAGGGTGACGGTACAGACCAGTGCGCAGTCTCTTCTGGTCGAGGTAGTGGGCAATGAGACCAATGCTTCGTCCCAGGACGAACAGACCGTTCAGGACACCCATCTTGAGGTAGTCTTCGGCCTCTTCGGCGGAGAAGGCACCGCAGTTGCGCATCAGGTCCACGAAGCAGACGGCGATACAGCCGTCAACGTTGAGGATCAGGCTGTCCTTCTTGGAGGTTGTGACGGTCTCGACGGCCAGAGCGTAGTCGAGCAGCTTGTGACTGGGGAACTTGGCGCGGACGTACTCCTTGACAAGCTCAACACGCAGATCGGGGTTGTTTCGTGACTTGATACGGTGACCAATACCGGGAATCAGCTTGTTGGCCTTGCGCATGCTGTCAACGAAGTCACGAGGGCTCATGTTCTTGTCAAAGGCCTTGGTGAATTCCTCAGCAGCACCGTCAAGGGCGCCACCAAATCGGGAACCAATGGTCAGCAGACCGGCAACAAGGGAGCTGATGAGATCCTTGCCAGCACGAGTGGTGATGATGGTGTTCATGGCACCAGAGACGGCAGGACCGTGATCAGCAGTAAGCATGAGAACCATCTCCAAGAACTTGGAGGCGTAGTCGGGCAGTCTGCGGCGGAACCACAGCAGAGACATGACGCCACCGACACCGATTTCCTCCTTGAAGACATCGGAAATGGGCATGCCGGCGTACAGAAGCTCTTGGCCACGGTCGTCGGAGATGGTAGAGATGAAAGCAGCGGGCTTTCGGATGAGGCCGAGCTCCTGGGCCCAGGAGTAATCCATGGGGATCTTGGGGACAACGGGCTCAGATCGGGGGACAATGGTGCCCGCCTTGACGAGCTTCTCGTAGACCTCCTTGACGGTAGCGGGCATGTCCTCAAAGGTGTTGGGGACGTAGAAGCCAGCCTCCTTCATGGCCGCGTTCTTGGCGGTGGCAGTCTCAAGCTGAGAGTTGGCAAAAGAACCGGCGTGACCGAACTGAACCTCAGTCTTGAACATGCTGGAGCAAGTACCAATGGCCCACGCGACAATGGGCTTGGTGATGATGCCCTGCTTAACGGCATCAATCACCTTGTACTCCTCAACACCACCGACCTCACCGAGCAGAACCAGGATCTTGCACTCAGGATCGGCCTGGTATCGCAGCAGGTGGTCGATGAAAGTGGTACCGGGGTATCTGTCACCACCAATGGCGACACCCTCGTAGACGCCGTCGGTGTTTTGAGAAATGATGTTGTTGAGCTCGTTGGACATACCACCAGACTTGGAGACGTAGCCAACGGAACCCTTGCGATACAGCTTGGAGGCAACAATGTTGTCCATCATACCACCGGTGTTACCAATCTTGAAGCTGCCGGGCTTGATACCACCGACGGTGGCGGGGCCAATAATGGTGATGCCCTTCTTCTTGGCGACATGGGCGATCTCACGAGCTCGCTGTTAACCGATGGTTAGCTAATTGGGCTCCAATTGGGCTGTTTTTTTTTTTTCTTTTCTTTTCTTTTTTTTTTTTTTTTGCGGTTTCGACAATTTTGAGAGGGGCATGGATATCACGGTAGAGCAAGACTTACTCGCTCAGGAACACCCTCTGCAATGATGGCAATGGTCTTGATCTGGGAATGCTCCATCAATTCCATGGTGGAGCTGTAGACACTTCGGGAGGAAGCAAAGTTGACCACGACATCGACATCAGGGTGCTTGGCAATGGCCTTCTCGACCTGCTGGTAGACGGGCAGCAGAGTCTCGCTGGTGCCCCAGTACATCTTGCTGACGAACTGGCCACCAAAGGTGTAGATGATGCCGGCGACGGAGGGCGTCTTTCGCTTGCAGATGAAGTCAAAGTCCAGCATGCCCTGGACGGCGCGGGGCTGCAGACCGTAGACGAAGCATCGCGTCTTCTCCGAGAAGAGAGTGTGCGAGGGCAGAGGGCTGAGGGGTCGGCTGGGGGCAGCAAAGCGCTGGATGTTGTCGTTGGCCGACAGGTTCTTGTTGCCGGACATGATGAATGCGTGAGCTCGTCAAGAGGTTTCTCGAGAGGAGCTGTTTTGGTGGAATTGAGGAGGGGAAAAGAGAATTGGAGCAGGAGAAAAAAAATGGCGGGGTGAGTCCTGTAGAGAAGAAAAAGAGCACTGGTTAACAGCTGAGCTTGGACAAAGGACTGATTGTAGCCGAACTGCGTTGCGCCCACCAAGGCAAAAACCACAGCAGACAGAGATGGAGATGAGGCGAAAGATGGAGAAGAAGGAAGAGAGGAATTGACAAAAGGCAGCTTTCAATGGGGGGGGAGCGAGGCCTAGAAGCGGGAGACCAGCCAGATTTCAGGAGAGCAGTGACAACTGGACCACGGAGGGCTGCTTAGCTGCCACCAGAAGCTCAGCGGGGCCGAAGCTCAGCGGATGGTGCCAGGCCTGCGCCGTATCCGCACATGGGCTTTGTACCGCCCACCAGGTACAAGCACCGACTGCTCCCTGTATTACCCTGTGCGACCGGCGCGCCCTGTCCCAGCCCGCAGGACTCGCGCACGTACTCGGTACGAATTGCTAGCCCGGTGGGGACCTAACAGGCGCCGGTGGGGCACGGCCAGCGAAGCCGCGCTGCTATCGCACTCGCCTAACGGAACCCAAAAGCGTCGATCGAGGGACCAGCATGTGCCTGTGTGGTGCATACAACTTGAAGTACATACAGCCCTGTGCGAAAGCGAGAGCAGGGGAGCGCTGAAAACAATCAAAACAAGCAGAAGCGCTGCTTACCTCGATGCAGGCCGTAGACGGACACTGAGCTTAGCTTCCCGAATTCGAAAGATGGTTACGGTGAAACGCAAGTCGCCGATGCTGACGCACTATGAGAGAGAATTATATCGTAGGAATGGGTGTGTCCGGTGATACGATGTCGTCTCACAGCTCCTTACGGCACAGGCGTCTAATTTTGGCGTCCCTCTTTTTTTGGCTCTCATTCTCTCCATCCCCCCCTCAGCGGATAAGAGCGATTCCAGTGATGTTTTTTTCTTCTTCCAATTCAGGGGGACCGGAATGGTGGGAGAGTCGGGAGCCAAATCCGCATGGCAACAGCCACAAAAGGAGTTGGGGAAGATTTTTGGGGTAAAAACCATGAATGTTGAATAGCAGCGCCGTAGGGCTTTGAGACACAATAGCAGCCAAGCTAGGGGACAAAGACCCGGTTGCGGTCCATCAGCCACTGGCCACTAACACGGCTTGGGTCCGGGTATCAGTACATGTACCTCAACGGGCTCCATTGCACGAATGCGGTATCGGATATTCCCACCACCAGAAGAACATTTGCGCCCCTTGCGTGCCATTGACATTTTTGGTTTGAATCAAGATAAGAAAAGATTACGCCGCTGAAGCCGGAAGCGCGTGACTGACTGCCATTGAAGGGTTGACATGGAAGACCATCCGTGGATGAGTTGATCAAGGGCGGTTTTGGCCGGAGGGAATCCGTCCTCGCTGGAGGAAATCCGTCCTAGGGGTCCTGGTGTGCTGTGCTTGGTGATCCAGGCCCAAAATTAGGCACCGAGTCAATAGTCAATCTGGGAGGCAGCTCGAGCCGCTAGCATCGCCCGGCAGTCGACACGCATTAGAACCAGACAGCACCGGCCATTGCAAGTCGAATGCTGTGCGCTAGGAAATGGAGGGGCAGCAATGGTGGGGTACACTTGCTCTGTGGTGGCTGACGCTTCGGGCCCTTGTTTTACCCAACGCTGATAGACCAGAACGTTTGGGTTAGCGAGTCGGCACAGGTCCCCACCGCTTTTGAACGGGTACGAATACGTTGCTGTGCTCGTGCCTGAGCCACCGGTACCAGCGCCGCACACGTCCTGAACAGCGCGAATAGCTTGCCCCTCTCAGCCTTGTCCCGCTATGGGTACATGTACATTAGCACCTGTAGTTCCAGCAAGCTCCCAGGCTGCTTTGCAGCAGAGGCACGTCTCTGTTGGGCTCTGCTGCAGCCCCCATGCAAACGTTAAAACCCCATCACTGATCAGTCGATCACCGCGAGGGAGGAACAAGAGGGGGGGCAAGGCTCCGAAAAGTAAGTCATTCGTAGGCCCCGGGCATGGCATAATCCAGATAAGCCCGTGTTATCGGAGGTTCCAGAATCCCGCGGAATGCCTTCGGCGCCAGAAATTGCGGTCCCGAGATCCTTGCAAGCCACTGTTGCGACAGTCGGCGCAGGTGGTAAATTGGAACTCTCCGGTCTCAGAGACGAAAACGACGCAGGCAGTGAGCGATCCAATTCCGACTGCGAAGAAAAAAAAAAATCGAAATCATGGCGGTCCACTTGGGTCTTCTCAACAACCTTGGAACTGGGGGGGGACGACTCCTGAAAGTACCGGTACTCGGGCTAGAGCAATGGCAGCGCCCATTGAGTTTCCCTTGCCCCAATGCTTTTTCTTGCTCCCGGCGCCGTGTGAGTTCGCACCCGGCCGCCACCGACTTTGGCACGCACCT